TATTATCGGATCAAACTGTATAGATGAAAGACAATATTGTAAGTAAGCCTCAATGTAACGTAAGAGAAAAAAATGATTTACATACCAGATGGTACTGTATTTGTTGATTTTCCTCCTCCAACATTTTCCCCTAACACAGGAAAATTCTTTTGCAAGTGATACAAGAAAATAACAAAGTTTTCATTGGAGGATATAGACGATAAACGATTTACCTTTCTTCGCAGATTGTCCACCTGCTGTTGCAAAAGCTCAAGCTGCATTCCAAATATAAAGAGAGTTTTGATTTTGGAACTTTGAGACATCTTTCTAGGACTCGAATATTTACATGCAGAAAAAGCTTGATGGATTTGGGTGATCGACTTGCATAATAATGAATCAGAATCAATAAAATTCCTTAACACTTTTGAGGTACCAGGCATGATCAATTATTGACTTGCATATTTTGGTTTTTTCCCTTTTGTTTCGCCTGGTTTTATTTGCTCATACTTTTGCATATTCTTGGCCTAGTAAATTGCTTAATAAAGCATTAAAAATGCCTTCAATTCTGTTTTCAATTAAGACATCAACAAAATCTTCAACTTAGCATTATAATTATCAGACCTAGCATAAAATCTAGTTTACAAGTTTTACAAGTTAATATGGATAAATCTTCAAATCATTGCAATGCAACCCGTGCCGACTTAGGTTCTGGATCGACAAATATAAACTTATAAGCCGAGTTGAGTTTAATAATTTTATTATTATTATTGAATGATTGTATGAGTACATAAAACGAATTAATACCTTCTGAGCTCGAACCTTGTTAACCGAGCACTCTAGCTGCTTTTCAAGTTCGACCAAACCCTCATGGTGCAAGGAACTCAGGTTTTCGCCTTTGTAGCATCGAACACTCAACTGAAGATCATCCGTCTCTTTCCTGATTCTTTTCGATTCTTTCTCAATTTGTTCCTAAAACAGTAAGATCAAAACATCACAACCTCAATCTGGTTAATAGAGACATATCGATAAGGTAAAGGGAAGCTTTGTACCCAGTCATTGCTTTCTGGAACCCGCATTCCTTTCGAAATCTCATACCTTCTGATGATGTGTGGTATGCTGCATGTGTCCACCATAAAATGATGATAGTTTCTTTTAGCTCAGTAAAATATGATTTCATCAAACAGAACTAGACTATATTCATATGCGTGCAAAGGTTACAACTTTCTTAGAATTCCTTGCAAAAAAAGCTTCTTAATTAAAAACGCAGACAAATTAGAACCAACAGATACACAAATGAGGAATCTACTCTACAATTACCATTTGGGGCTTGCTAAGCCCTAAATTTTGTAGAAATTAATTACAAGACAGAATTAAACATGTCATATTACACTTCTGGCAAGGCAGAGATGATCATCATGAAGCTATTTTATCTATATAGTGATGTGTATGGACCTAGAGTAACTTGGAGGTAGAAGAATGAGAGTCAAGGATGGCCAAACGTTGGACCTCGCTGAGGCTAAAGGAGCTAACAAGAAAACTTATCAATTAAGACAAATTGTTATATCAGCACTGGAAAGAGCACTTTAAGGGTTAAAAAAAGAAGCAATAAAGGCGGTCAAAACATATGATGAAAACATGATAAAACAGCATAAAAGCTAACATTTTCATAGAAAATATTATTCATCTCATCGTAAAAGTTATATCATCAAAGAACTCATTTTTGCTCCAACAAATCATTAGCTGACCCCCTTAAATCCATTAATGATTTAGATAGATACAAATTAAATAATTTACTTAAGGAATTTGTTAAATTTAATGGTATATCATTATGGTCATTAATTTTTGTTTTTTCTCTTCTTTACCTGGACGACTCATTGCAGAATTCATAAAGCTTCCCATTGCTCGAGAAGATGATGAGTCCTATTTCAGCATCACAGAGCACAGAGAGCTCATGGGTCTTCTTGAAAAGCCCTCCTCTGCGTTTGGCAAATGTGACTTGCCTGGCTGCGCGGTTCTCAATCCTAGTTATTGCTATCTTTCCTCTTCCCATTTTTCAAAGTGTCTTCTTCTCTTGTTAGGAGAATACTATGAAAAGGAAATCCTATCCTCTCTGGTATATCTCACTCAATTTCCTGGTAATGCCAAGAGGGAAAAAAACATAAAACTATTAAACTAGGATGCATGCTATATGTGCAGAACTTGAAACTATTAAATGAAGAACTAATTGCAATGAAAAGTGGAAAATTTAGTTTCTAAAATCCCTAAAGATAACATTAGTGTTTTTGGTAGCAGATGGAAGAGATCAGAAAATCAGAGAGGTACAGGAGGAGGGGGGAAACTTTTGTTTCTTTCTCTTACCTTTATTTTATTGTCTATGCTTCCTTAACTTCAAGTTCGATCAACTTTTTATATAGGCCATGCTGTAACCTTCCCTAGTCATCCATTGCTTTCTCATGGACTGGCACAGAAAAACAAAATTATTACGGCATGTTGTGATTTGTGACTGTTAACTACTCCAGCGCTGTCATGGATGCGACCTTAGCTTTTGGAATTTGCCAAATTAGGGAAGGTCTAAGTTTTGAATGAACACAAGCATGCTTGCCATGTAAAGAAACCCTATTCCCTGTGGAAAAAACAAGGTGCTTGTATCCCTGGCAAATGCCTGGCAAAAATCAGAGCACTCGTTTCCATCACTTAGAACCCGTTTGACTGCGCTGCATGCAAATGCCATGGTTCAAAAGCAAGACCTTTTATTCAAATCATAATTTAAATCTAATGGCACAGAACTTTCTTGCACAATCCTCCCATGCTTGTTTTCTTGTGGGTGTGGTCAGTGAGGATTGTCCTAATTAGTATTTTTGTTTGCTACAACTCGATAGGCCCAACTCTCTAATTAGTACTTGATCTACTACTTTGCCATGAAAGGAGAAACCGCCCTAGAATTTTAGCCTCGCTTTTGACCTTTGAACATGGCTGGATTATCAAAATAAGAAAGAAAAAAGAAAACGCGTTAACATTTCTATAGACAACAAGAATATCATCCTCCCTATAAAACCAGATTCGTGCACTATTATCTGAACGTGTTCATGAAGCTATGAAAAAACCTTCATAAAAAATAATAATTTTTAATGATTGATAAGTTTTGAGCCTGAGTTATACCTATAAAATAAGATTTTTATGGATATAAAGACACTCTGATTTAAATCAATATCTAATCTTTTTCTCAAGTGATAAGAACATTGTAAAAAGTCAAGAATATGAAAATACTATTTGTTATGCATAGAAAAAATATGTGTGTTTAATGTCTTGTTGAATATGTTTTATCATAGCAAAATATCAAATATAATATAGTGTTATTTAAATGAATAAACACCCATCGTTTAATGGTATCTGGTGCTCAAAACTAACAAAATTTTTAATTTAATGTTAGATTAAATTAAAATTTTATAAGCATGTTCTATGAGTTTGGTTTCTTATAAAATAATTAGATAATATCAAAAAATTATTTTAATTCAATAGCTTAATTTATTTGATGATATATATGATATATAATTTATATTATTTTTTAATAAATAGTGCATGTCTATCTATATTATTTTTACATTCAAATTTAACTTGAAAGTCACCGTTTTATAATTTATTTTTAGATTCATTTCATTTCTAGTAGATGTTAATTTAATTAACTATTTAAACAATTTTCTGGTACATAACTTTTAATTTATTGATGTTCAGAATCTATCAAGTTATAGTTTTCTTCGCTGTTTAAATATAATTTTATAGTTCGTAAGACTCTAATTTCTTGCTTTTCCTTACTCGTTACGCTAAATTCATGAGTTTGACTTGTTTCCAGTTAATTTTACCCTATACATTGAATAATCGTTCACACAAATATACGTATAGCTGGTATATACACATATATACACCTTAATTGAGTTAAGGAGGCATAAAGGCCACCCTGCAAAGATGGAACCAGAGCCACAATAGGCCTAGCTAGGTCCTTAACTAATGGAAAACTATTTTTTTTTTTATGTATATATGTTTTCTTACAATTAATTTGATTTATTTTCAAGGATAAGTAAACAAATGGGAGACTACTGTAAAGCCATCATTGACCGAATCAGCCCATCCAGAGAGAAGAAGATTATGAACATATTGTTTGTCTAAAATTAGAAGCAGTTTTACGTCCACTTCAACTTGTTCCAGTGCTCACATGATCCTCGCAGACTGACTCCACGAGGGCAGTGATTTGGGTTGGCAGTCCTATGTGAAAAAGAAGATGTTCATGTTCAAACATATCATTCTCGAGCTTCCGAAGGTACTCGATCCTGTCCGAACCCTTAGCTACACAAGCCACGGCATGATCCCGAACCAAACCACCTGCAGATAATCGCTTTAACATGGTGCTGATGTTGACCCTTTGTTCCTCCATCTTGAAATTACTAGTTATTTTTCAAATATTTTTAATTTTAAAATATATAAAAATAATATATATTCTTTATTTAAAAAAATTAATTTTGATATTAATATATTAAAATGATATAAAAATAAAAAAAATTAAGTAATTTGTTTTAAATCACAAAAAAAAACAAATAACTTCAAGCAACCAATCCGCATGAGCGACGCATTATTTTCATGACAATGACGTAATAAAATGACAAGGCACCTATTTTCATTACAATTACAATACAGGACGATAGACTTAACAACCAAATAAAAGAATTTAATAGTTTTTTTCCCTATAATTAACAATGTGTAACAGTTTAAATGATTCAATTTAGATTAAAAAAATAAATTAAATTTTCTGAATTATAAAATCATTCAATTCAATTAATTTTATAAATATTTTGAATAATTCCATCAATTTTGAATTAATCCGCCCGTATCCGTTTATAATCCATAAAACAAATTATGGACTGCAAAACATGTTGCTTGGCCCATAGGCTATATTAAAAACCCCAAAAATTTCCAGAATAATTGGGCCACGTTTTAATTATGAGCCCAAACCCATTACCAAAACCCACTATAAAATAAAACCCAAATCGTTTTCTCTCCTTCCTCGTCCTTACTTTCGATCTGTCACTCCCCGAAACACAACCCAAGCACATCATATCTCCCTCCCCTTCAATTTCAGGTCACTCAATTTTATCTCCACCGTCAGATCTCTCTCTCGACATCAAATTGGGCATTGATCCATCGAATTTCAATTCAATATCTCATAACGCAAATCAGATCTGAGATTTTAAAACTTTGAACATTTAATTTTCTTTCGTTTTCTCGGTAACCAAACAGACCTGTCTGGTGATCTCGCCATTCATCTAGATCTGAATTTCGAGATTCTTTAATCACGTAGATCTGTGGAATTTAAATTCTGATTAATTTAATTTCGTTTTGTAGGCGTTCATTTCTGTGTCAGTATATCAAGATGGTAAGATAGTCTCTCTCTCTCTCTCTCTAATATAATTTAATCATGAGGTTTTTTTTTTTTAAATTTGGTTTTGATTTCGGTTTTAATTTGTAATGTAGGTTGTTCTCGCGGCTTCTATAGTGAGCAAGAATGGTAAAGGTGAGTTCCCTGTGCTATTTCTTTTTAGCAAATTTTTTTATAATTTCTATTTATATAATTTTGAATGCAATTAGTTAACAATGTTTATTGTGTTTTATTTTAATCTGAATTAACTTTCATTTTTATATTGCATCTAAATCTGTAAACCTCGCGTCACATGATAATGTTTATTGGAATTACAATTCGACATACATCTATCTGTTTAGATTTGAGTTTTCATGGGTCCTGTTTGGATCCTTGACTGGGAGTCTTATCATGTGGGACCCACAAATGCTCAAATTTAAGCAGAATGTGGAAAAAATGTTAGTGTTGGAGGTTCTTCCATTTGTTGAGCTCGATAACCTTGGATTTGATTTGGTTTTATTATTATTAACTGTGTTGTTGTAGTGAGGCATTTTTTGTTTTGTTGCTTTGCTTGATGCCTTTTGAGGTTCCTTGCAGTGCTTGTTTCGAGACAGTTTGTGGACATGTCTCGGATTAGAATTGAGGGCCTTCTTGCTGCTTTTCCCAAGTTGATAGGGATTGGAAAGCAACATACTTATGTTGAGACTGAGAATGTGCGTTATGTGTACCAGCCAATAGAGGCTTTGTACTTACTACTTGTGACAAATAAACAGAGCAACATTCTTGATGATTTGGAGACTCTGAGGCTTCTCTCAAAATTGGTATTTATTTCTGATGTTTGTCTCACTTTTTTTTTTGGCAGTTTCATATTCTTATACTGGGACTTTAAATTTTTCTATACTCTGTAATGGGTGCTCAGGAATCTGGTTGACTTCTGGCTATCCCCCTACATTTTATGCACCTATGGTCATCTCTGACATGTTTCTATATCTTGTGATGTTTGTGCTATTCTTACTTGATTTGAAAAACTTTGAATCATGAGTTACTTTCTATAAGATTCATTTCATTAAAGTACATTTAGAGGCTTTAAGCTGATTCCTTAAGTGTGCTTCTAGGTACCTGAATATGCCATGTCTCTTGATGAAGAGGGTATTTGTCAGACAGCTTTTGAGCTGATCTTTGCGTTTGATGAGGTTATCTCTCTTGGGCACAAGGAAAATGTTACTGTTGCCCAGGTTAAGCAGTACTGTGAGATGGAGAGTCATGAAGAGAAATTGCACAAGCTGCTATTGCAGAATAAGATTGATGAGACCAAGCGTCGTATGAAGGAAGAAGCTAGTAAGATTGACCAAATGAAGGTATTTGTGTATAGCTACACAAAGAATATCTGAAGAATATTTATGTGCTGCGTAAAGCACTATCAACATCTCTCAATTTATTTATTTAATTTTTGCAGATTGAAAAGAACAGAGGTAATAAAGGAGGATTTATGTCTTCAATGGGCTCTGGACGAATTGAGAGCAGCTTTAGTGATATGAGCATTTCCAGTGGTGGAGGAGGTGGTTTTGGAAGTGGCTCTGGGTTTGGATTAACCAATGATATTGACTCATTTGCCAGCAAGTCTAAAGGTTTATTTCTGTTTTTTTAGGCCACCTATATCTGTTGTCGCTTCTGATTTTTTGATAACTAGCAGATTAGGTTTATGTCTATTAGATACCTAATTTTTATAACTATGATTTGTAATAATTTTTCAAGTTTTTAGAAATTTTGATTCACCCTTCAACTTCTTGACCAGATTTGAAACCCCTAAACCATGAGGTTATACATCTTCATCTATTTAATTCCATTGGCTGCAACCTAATTTTGAGCATATTATTGTAAATATCTCTGAAAAATATGGTTCAAGTATCGGGAGTGTGCTTTTAATTTAATATGTCTATCTGGCATCACTAGGTCGTCAACCTTCATCTGCTACTGCTCCTCCTAAAGGCCTTGGCATGAAACTCGGCAAAAACCAAAGGGCGAACCAGTTTTTGGAATCCTTGAAAGCAGAAGGTGAAATGATTGTTGAAGATGCACTGCCATCAAAGTTAAGTTCTCATATAGCAGCGGCTCACCAACCAACTGATCCTGTTACATTGACTGCTGAGGAGAAACTCAATGTCACTCTAAAACGGGACGGTGGAATGAGTAACTTTGATGTTCAAGGGCAATTGTCACTTCAAATTCTTAACCCAGAAGATGGGCTCATCCAAGTTCAGGTTCATCATCTCTTTCTCTCTGGCACTCTCTCTCTCTCTGTGTGCATGCATGATTTAGGTAACAATAAATAATTAAAAAAAACTGTACTTGAATGTGAAAAGAATGGCTTACGTGTCATCAAGTGAGAGATAACTTGGCATCCATGACTTCATGGTGAAATTTCATGACCATCATCTCATATCTGTGAGCAAAAGGGTTTCTATCATCTTCTTCCATTTGCTACCGTTTCGTTGCAAAATGCTCATCTTTCCACATCAGCCACATCATGTACATAAAGATGTGAAATGCTTGCGCTTAGTCAAATGAAGTTGTTCCTTGATTTTTTCAATATTATCTGTGGCTATGTGGGACATTGCTGAAGTGTTGGACCTTTTGTAATAAATCACACTGTCCCATCTCATGGATAACTTCTTATGAATAGATTGTTTCTATGTCTAATAATGATGCTTGGCATTTATAGATTACAAGAATTTGATACCCTTTGATGATACTATCAAAATATCGAGTAGGATCTGTATATGTGGCTTTGGTTTTGAAGTTATTGCAGTAGCTTCTATGCTTGGTATTATCTACATTATGATGCCTGGTTTATTTTGCAGATTGAAACTGGGGGGAATCCAGGTGTCATTTTCAAGACACATCCTAACATGAACAAAGAATTATTTGCTAATGAAAACATTTTGGGGTTGAGGGATCCCACCAGACCTTTCCCCACTGGTCAAACCGGGGATGCAGGTGTTGGTCTTTTGAAGTGGAGAATGCAAAGTGCTGATGAGTCAATGGTGCCCTTGACAAGTGGGTACAAATCTGAAGCAGCAGCTTATCTGAGCACTGTACACTTTCTGTTGTATGTTCTAATGTTATGTTTAATTTATGCATATTGCAGTCAATTGCTGGCCATCTGTTTCTGGAAATGAAACATTTGTCAGCATCGAGTATGAAGCTTCATCAATGTTTGATCTACGAAATGTTGTGATCTCAGTTCCTCTCCCAGCCCTTCGAGAGCCACCAAGTGTTAGGCAGATTGATGGAGAATGGAGGTAAGAAATTGCTCTATTCTGCTCTTTCAATGATGTATCAGGTTGAAGTTAGTTTGGTGTGGATCTATATGTTGGGGCGAGTAGAAATTGTATCTGGTACTTATGTTTTTTCTTTCTTTTTTGAACATTTGGCTTTAACTAAAGTGAGATTTATCTAATGAATGTATAAAGTTAGAATCTGATTTGGATGTCTGTTGAAAGTGAGGTGCTCGGATTGTTTACCTTAAAATTATTTTTCAAGGCAAATTAAATTAAAAGGATTGCCATTCAGGCACGTGGAGAGTAAATGTGAGAAGCCTTTAGGTGGAAGCATATATTTTCACTTAGTTATAAGTACCATGTGCTAGGATTTCAGCAGATTCCTAGGAATTCTTAAAAATCATGTGATATTCTGGAAGATTCTTTTGATGTTATTGATTTATGCCAAGCAATATTATATATTTGATAACCATTGTATGCCATCCTTTGTCTCCTATTTTTCATGATTTATACAGTCCATTTGAAGCAGTCATTCAATATTTTTCATTATTCTTAAATCTGTAGGTACGACTCCAGAAATTCCATCCTAGAATGGTCCATTCTTCTCATTGATAACTCTAACCGCAGGTAAGAAAATGTTAGGAGTGTTTTTTTCACTTTCAGACCCTATGTTTGATATATGAAAAATACTCCTGGTTTTAGGGTTTCTTATAATGTGCCATATAATATTTTTGGACAGTGGATCTATGGAGTTCGTTGTGCCACCAGCAGATTCATCATCATTCTTCCCCATTTCTGTTCGGTTTTCAGCCACCAGCACATACAGTGAACTAAAGGTTTGGTTTTTATCTAAAATCTTGGTGATTTTGCTTGCACCACCCTTGATAAAGGAACTTCAACCTGTATGCAAAATGTTTGCCTTTCCAATTTGTGAATTAGCTTCCTCTGTTGGCCTTTTTAATGATTGTAGCTGTTCCACACCTGTATGAATATTTCCCATCTAAAACTTACACTTGATTAATAAAATTCGCATGTAATATAAATTAAAGCCATCTAGTCAATGCTAGCTCATAAAGACAAATTGTGCGATCATCATTGCATGAAATTGCTGAGTTACAGTTACTGCCAGTTGTTGCAGTTCCTTATTCTTGTTCTCCACCAGTGTAGTTGGTAATATCAATGATTCAAGCTAATTAAAAGCCTGTTCTTTTAGTCTACCTCCGATTATCTTTACATTGCCCTTCATTTTCCTTTTCTTCTCGCAGGTTGTTAATATCCTTCCCCTGAAGGGTGGAGCTCCTCCCAAGTTTTCCCAGAGGACTCAATTGATCACAGAGAATTACCAAGTAGCCTGAATGATAGAGCTACTTCACTGAAGCATGAGTTATATCCGGCATGTTTAGTGTTTGTTTATTGGGGTAAAATTTGACGCAATTTTGAGACTGTTGATCTTGGAATCTAATGCACTTATTCTCTCCATTTTTTTTCTTACTGTAAATAATCTTTATGGTAACTACATCCTCGCTTCTATTCTTTGTATGCTGGTTTATTTTGGATGCAAAATTTTTCGCAGCTTTGACAATGATTTTTTTTTTTTTTCCAATTTAGTTCAAGGTGGTTTAACTTTGAAGTCTTATGGAGTTACAGTTGGAGAAACACTGTTATCGTAAGAAAATCTGTGAAACACTTGTTGAAATTCTAGGTTATTGTCTGCAATGCACTTCTGTTCACCAGATTATTTCAATATATCTCTGTGAAGGTGGCCACCGCATAGATTCTACATAGGTTGAGCGTAGAAACATGCTGACGTGGTCGTATTCGCTTTCAGAAATGATTTGGTGAAAATATGTCATGGGATTGGTAGAAAAAAGGAGAGATTTCTTAATCGCCAGCTTCTGTCAAATTTCTGAATCTTGTAGTTTGCACATTGGAGGCCTTCGCTCAATATTCTCGGGATCGGCTTGCATATCTCAAGAAATACTCTCTATCAATTGGCTAGTATTCTAAGTATATTCTCGGGATTCTCAGGACAAACAGTTTTTAATTTGTTACAAGTAATAATATTTATTCTTAGCATTCTCGGTAATAACATTTATTCTTACCCATCATCAACTATAAATAATAATATTTTCAAGGCGGAAGAATAAAATAAAAACTAAATCTATGGTTCTAGGATCTATAAGAAATTGAGATAAAAAATGATATTTGAATAGAAAAGAACTTGTACTCGAAGTTATAAGCATAAACAATTTGATATAAAAATATTTATGATTTTTTAAATTCAAATAATTATTTAGCGAAACTGATGAAACCTTTTGAGAAGAAAATAAAAATAAAAATGAAAAGAAAACTAAACTTCTCTTCAAACTCTTAATTATTTTCCAGCATGACTTCGATGGAATAAAACAACGAGGTGTAGTACGGTAGAGTGGTGATAACTAGTTTTCTAAATAGACTTCTTATATATCACAGATTTATCAAGTATACTTTTATTAAATAATAGAAAGCTACCCCTCAAGATAGATCAATAGGATTATTTTAACACTGATATTTATTTAACCAGGGTACACTGCCTGGGCCGATGACACAGCTCCATAGAGGTCTTTTTCTGTAAAGAAATGTTCATTTCCTTTCTTGGAAGGACTTTTGTCTGTAAACTTAAAAGCATCATCAGCAGCGGTAACTGCGCTGCTCAAATCGGTACAAGCTGACCGGATGGCAATCCTCAGGCTGGCAAATTCCTCGTCCTTCATAGCTAGCTCGTGCTCAAGACGTCGCATTTCCTCGTCCTTCATAGCTAGCTCGTGCTCAAGACGTCGTATGTCCTCGTCCTTTGATCGTATCTGGTACTCAAAGCCATTTACTTCTCTTTCACCTACAGGTTTTTGATCCTTGAGGGAGTTTCTTTCTGCTGAAACTTCATTGTGATCTTCAGCAACCGGGAAGGAGCTATCCGCATAATTATTTGTGACCACCTATTTAGAAACAAAGTGGAAAATATGTATAATTTCGAGAGGGATATCTTACTGCACCTATGTATAATTTTGTAGCATTAATTCTGGTCTTATACATGTTAAATTAATAAGAAAAAAAAAGTGATTATTACCAACAGAGCATTGTGTCACTCTGAAAAATCATTCAGGACTCAAATATTAGCGTTATATGCGCAGAGTACATCTTGCAAGCTAGCAATCAAATATGCTAAGAAGAAAGTTGATAGTTACCTTTATTTTTCCTAGCTTCTTCATTATCCATCGAATCATCTTCTTCATCAATAATCTTTAAATGCAAATATTAAACCTACCTTATGGACTTCAATCCTCAAAGATTCTAAACGAAACCTACAAGTCTGTGCTTCACAAATATGAGCAATGCTCCTCTTATACATGCCTGTGATGACCAAGTCAAATGCCATCAAAGTCAACTGTTTACCAACATACACAATTCTAATTAAAAAATCTTCCTTTTCATTTCAATTTGAACAGTGTCACAACTCAAGATTTCAATTTATTGCGTGAAGTTAATGGAATAATTTCATATCACTCAAGTAAAAGACTTTTGATTATATTGTTTTTAATTGTTATAATTTAATTAGATAGAATGAAGTTGTGAGATTAAAACTTGTAATCATTTAATTATTGATTTCTTTCAATAAAGATTTTCGATCTATAATTCGCTTAGATTTCTATAATATTCAAAGCATATTGAAGTTAGGAGGGGCAACCACTCGTCAGTACCTCCAAGTTGCCAATTAACTTCTCCAGTGGCAATTAAAAAATGGGAAAGGCCAAAGTGCTCTCGACTACTTCCGAGTTGCCGAGCAACTTCTGGGATGGCAATCAAACAAAAGAAATGACAGAAATGCTCTCATATTCATGAGTTAGGTAAGCACCGGCCCATTCAGGACAAGAATGGTATTCTCAATGGATCAGTCCTATTTCTAGACAGTAAAAGTTTTGCAAAATGAACTTCTTTTGATGATAGATGGCGATCTATTAATTAAGAAAAAAGATTTTCTTCTTTTCTTTTTATTTTTATTTTTTAGGGGCGATTCAAGAAAGAATTTTTTATTTGGGGACGCGAGAGTGGGCTTAATCATTGCTCCAAAGAAGGACAAGGATGGAGAGCGAGTCACCCAAGAGAAAATACATAATCTGGCAGCGTATGCTTTCTTCTTGTGTAAAATACGATAGATGAGAAAACAAATGAGTATATATGTTTAATTTATAATCAAGAAGTTTATAAAATTACAGTAAATTTGCAATCATAATAAAAAATTAGTATGTTTACAGAACAGATTATGGGATTAGTAAAAAATTAAGAAAAAGGGAGAGATTTCTTAATCCACCGCTTCTGTCAAATTTCTGAAACCTTGGTGTTTGGTGCATTGCCATATTGGAGGCCTTCGCAATGAGAAGGATCTTCTGTTTGGTAATGTGATCAGGAGGCTTTTTTTGTTTAGCTAAAAAATCATTTGACCCTTTTGAATCTTGACAAGGCAGTGCAAGGGCTACGAAAGTGCAGGAAAAATCAAGTTATTAAAATCACCTTCTCATCTAAAATTGAGTAAAAATAAAAAAAAATGATAAAATTAGATCAATATCATGTAAAATTAGGTAAAATCATAATTTTATTACCGATTTTACGATTTTACAATAATCCCAAATTCCGAATTCTCATCTCTCTCGGTGCATGCCTTGTGTTTACTTACTAATGCATGAGTTTCATATGTAATTGTATTTATGGACTTTTTCTTTAATCAATAATATTGCACGGGTAAAGAAAACATAATATTACTTGAATCCTTAATAACAAATAAAAAGTTGTTTATTATGAGATAAAACTTTTAAAAATTTTATTTTATAAGAATATTTGTATAGACAAAAGTGACAAATTATACTCTAAAGTTTAATCCTTTACATGTTTATACTTAAATATCATAGTTTTTTAAACAAGTATATAATATTATATATGATTTATTTAAAAAAAATCTCATAACTTATTTAAGATATAATCTAACAAAAATTAAGATTTTAAAATTTAAAAAAAAAAAGATTCGACTTTGAATTATTTGATTTTTATTCATTTTAGTTCATACAAAATCTATAATTTTTTATTGATTAACTTGTTAAAATTCATATTATGTAACAAATAAAATCTAAATCTTACAAAAGTATAACAATAACAAAAAGAAAGCATAAAAGAATCTAAAATTAATTTATTTTTTAATTTCGTTTATTTCTACCGATTTTGGCACTGTTTTGATTTGCTTCGGTTTTGATTAGGATTCACAAGGTGCAAACTATAAATAAATGATTAAAACCAACAAAATATAGCTTGATACACTTTACATTAATGATTCATTTTCTTTTACCTAGCACATTAATATCTTTTTCAAGAATACAATACAAATAAAAATATATTAATGCATTAAAAATATAAAAAAAATATTATTTTACATTAATTATTCTTAGAATCCTATTGATTTTATTTTATATAAAGAAAATTAAACCATAAAATAATCAGTCCACCTAGAAAAGTAATTTCTGATTAGTTTGCTCCCATATAAAACCTTCATCCGATGCCTTAGCTCCAACGAGGTCTTTTTTTTTATACATGTAAGCAGTACCCTTCTCCGGAGGATCATTTCTCACTCTAAATTTAAAAGCAATGTCAAGAGTGGTAGCTGCGTTCACCATATCGGTACAAGCAGATTGCATTGTATTCCTCAGCCTGCCATATTCCTCCTCTCTTCGATCTTGTTGGCTTTTAAGACGTTGCATTTCTTCATCTTTCATGGCTAGCTCATACTTAAGCAGTCGTATTTTCTCGTCTTTTGATTGCATGTGGTACTCAAACCGCTTTATTACCTTTTCACCGACGGATTGTTGATCCGTAATGGAGATTTTTATTCCTAGCTCGCCCTCGAGGCGCTCTACTTCTTCATCTTTGCCATCATCTTTTTCCTTCTTACCATGAGACACTTGGTAATTAAGGAATTGTTGTGTTCCTTGAACTTCGAAAGCTCTGGCCTTTTTTCTCAAGGTCAGCTATTTTCCTATTAGCTTCAGATAACTGGTCCTTGAGGGAATTCCTTTCCGCTAAAACTTGATCGAGCCCTTCATAAAAGAAATCAGGCATTCTTCGTTGTTCAATTTCAACAAACTGCAAGAAGGATCGATATCCGCATCGTTATTTGTTGTGTAGTATGGCTAACTCTGTCATCATACGTGGAACCCTTATATGGAAAACAACTCTAGGAAACATCAAAGAAACTTGATGCATTCTTGATTACCTTGTTATATATCCCTCAACTTCCGAAACTTAACTCTAATCAATTGAATTATCTTCATTGAATCTTCTATCAAACTCAAAGGGCTGGGTGCAACACAATTTTGTGCACCTGAGATTCAAGTATAAATATATGATTTTATTAAATATATAAATGGGTATAACTTCTATGTAATAGGTTGTTTTAAAGGAATATGACAATCCTCTAATTTTTTTTTTGAATTTGATATATAGTTACTTGATTTATTTAAGTAATCAAGTCAAGATTTATACTTTGCAAGAACGTGAATTTAGACGTGTATTGCAAAGCAAGATGTTGTGATTTGATGCTTTGAAGAGTACCTTGATATATCTTTAAAGTGTTGTTGAAAAACTCTTATGGAGCGTTTTAACTTGATCTAACAAAGTTTTGTTCTTTATAGACTTCAAGCGTAGATAAAGGAGGCTTGATAACTCTTTGAGAGAGAACTTCCTTGCTTGAGGAGAGAGAAAAAGCTTTTTTGCTTGCATAACTTGTCTTGAGGGAAATTTGCATATTTTGAAATCCTTTTTCTCTAGGTTGAGACCTTTTATTTATAGAAATATGTAAAGGCTCTCATGTCATTTTTCAATGTCACATGTTATAATTTTATTGGTTGATATTTATTAACGGGATCTTGTATTTATAAAAAGATATATATTGGGATCTTGTATTTATAACAAGATATCTTGAATATCTCATATGAAGTGTTAAATTTTTATTGGCTAACAAATATATGAAGACTTATTTATTTTTCATGTCATTTATTTCAATTTTATTTTATCCTTTCTTTTAAAAAATAAAATAATACATGGTAAAATTTAATTGGTAAAAAAATTATGATGACAAACTTATTGATCTTGATCTTTAAAAGTTCTGCAAAATTAAAGACAACTGCAAAATCTCAAGAAAGAAAAAAAAAAAAGAACGAAATCATCTATTGCCAAGAGGTTGGGTGTTTCAAGCAAGGGTATCGATCGGACGTCTAAGAATCACTTGAATGTAACTAGCTAGTTTCAGCAGATCTCAGACGGTCAGGTGCACTACAACGAAATATGAAGAAAACAAACGAAAACCTTAGTTCTTTTCTGAGAAAAGGATTCCTGATATTAATGTATTTGTTGATGTAATTATATAAAACTCTACCACCTATACATAAAACTCCAGAGGTGGAATGCTGTTATGTAACAGGAATTTTTAATACATTTTCCGAAAGAGTATCAAGCTGTTTTAAAATCAATGTAAACCATGTTAAAATTTTTGAAGAAAATAAATCTTTGATGACCAAGTAATTACAAGTTTAAATTTTATTATATTTATTTATATGATAAAAATTAAGTACAATGTAAAGTAAATTTATGCAATTTTTAAATTTAAAATTTTTTTATAAATATATTATAAATTATATTATAAAATTTCATCTAAATAACTTAAATTATTAGATTAAAGTGGCTGTTTGATACAAGTATCAATCATGCAGGGAAAGGGAGGAGAATTCTCATGCTTATGGAGGTTAAATATGTTGAGAATATGTCTAGTCTCAGGGCGAGAGTGGGATAAAGTTCGATTAATAGGATCAAGCTCGGGACTTTCAAAGTGTTGAACCAAACTGAATATAATTTTTTTTATTCATGTGGATGTCTAGTTTATATATATCACAACTAATCTTATAGTTCATTAAACATTCTACAAATCCAGTAGATATTTAATACATCACAGGGAAGACAAATATTTTTAAACCCTCTTCACTATTAGAACAAGACCCTCCGTGCCCAAATTGAATATAATTATAGATCTTGCAGGTCAGACATATATAAGTTAACCTTGGAGGGGCAACGACAGCTGCTGTCCTCTCCTGGATCCTGAGGCCAACGCCACCTTATTTGATGCGCTTCCGAATTATATAAAAACTATAATTTCAAATCTGTTTATGTTTCTTTAAAAATAAGAAACTATAAATATCAGTATTACTTTAGGATCTGTAGTACATGATTTTCCACACCCAAAAAACAAAGTGTCAAGACTTTTCCATGGAATTTGTAACATCTGTTAGCTTAATTCTAAAAGTTCGCAAGAAGAAAAATGAAAGTTCCTTTAATTGACTTGTATTGTTAAGAAATAAATTCATCAAAATTCATGTATTCGCCACTCTTTCTATTGTATAGTCCTTTTTCTAATGTTATTTAGCATTTGAAATTAAATAATTGAGTATGTAATTATAAATAAAGAATACGATAAATAAGACCACATAATCACTAAAATATATAGTGACGTGAAAATAACATTGTTCTTAAAAGAAATTAAATTCTAAAATTACTTAAGTTTTTTTTTTTAGTAAAGTGAGTATTTGAGATTTGGTTATTCACATCATTTTCTTAAAATTTTATCTTTGCTTCTCTTTTTTGTTTTCTACTTCGTTTGAATTTGTCAATGTATCTAAAAACATTGAATTTGAGATTATTTTTTTGATGAAACGATCGATAAGATTTACCAAAGTAAATTGAATGGAAAACTCCGAAAGAATAAAGGATTGAACATGCCAAGATATCATCAACTCTCTAACTCTATCTCGACCTTGCTTAGCACAGGAATAAACACTTGAGCTCGTTCGCCTCTCTACTAGGATGAATGAAAGCAAGCTGTTGCAGGTACATGGTAGGCACGGCAATAAAAGTAAAAGGCTGCTGCAATTTTCTAGCTTAATCTTTACATTAACATGCATTAAAGAGGATTCATTTTCTCTTACTTGGCACATTAATGCCTTTTTCTAAGAATACAATATAAACAAAAATAATTCTTTCACATTATATATCCTTAGTATCCTATTAATTTTATATGAAAATATTTAAAACATAAAATATTCAGTTTACCTTGACAAGAAATCTCTGATTATTTTGCTCACTTCTGACCAGATAGCTCCTAAGAGATCTTTTTCTTGTCAATAAATTTTCAATACCTTTCTTCGGAGGACTGTGTTTGTAGATTTAAAAGCATCCGCGTTGCCCAGATCGGTACAGGCAGACTGAACGGCAATCCTCAGCCTCGCAAATTCCTTCTCTTTAAGTTCTAGTTGGCTCTTATGATGTCGCATTTCCTCGTCCTTCAAAGCTAGCTCGTCCTCAAAATGTCTTATTTCCTTGTCTTTTGATCTATCTGGTACTCAAAGCCATTTACTTCCTTTTCATCTACAGATTGAGGTTTCCAAAATTGTGTTGATTTTTTAGGATTTTCAAGCTTCTAAAATTGATTAACTATAAGAAAAATTAAAAACAGGGATCTGAAAAAAAATTAAAAACTAGGATCTGAAACCTAAGTTGATGTGAGATAAAATAAAAACAAAGAAAAAAAAAGAAGTCAAGAATTAAAAAGAAAGAATAAAAGCCAGGAAGAAGAGAGAATTAGAGGAGGAATAATCTATTATTTTTATCAAATAATCTCAAACTATCTCACAAAAAAAAAATAACATAATTCTAAAACGTCCATCTATTACATTCGGTTTCCCAACCAAAAAATATCATGCCATCCTTCCTCGTCCCCCTGTAATATGCTGCGCGAGGATATAAAATATCATTGACAGAAGAGTCAGAGAGTCTATACTAGTGATTACCAGAGGCTGCTTTGATGTGTGTGTCCGCCATCAACTGGGTTTTATGGCTAATTGGTTGCTCCTTCAATAACCAGCTTGCAATTTTGGCACATCAACTATAATGTTTGTCGGGTTTGCAATGCCATTAACGAGAAACTTTGGCATAGAAAAAAAAATCAACAGCAATTGGAAACGATAAGTGTTGGAAATAAGAAAATATAATGGCATGTGCCTTGGTGCATTGCCGCACGGGGTAATATAATCTGAAGCTAGTAACATGGTATGTGCCCTAGACTCTCATCTGGGAAATGAAACACAGCATCAGAAAAGTCTATTATTTATCATGAAAATATTGTTAATTTATATGTTTTTGACATCTCATCTACAATTTCGTTCGCTCCAACAAGATCCTCGTATCCTGAGTATTTCCCAAATCCTCTATCACGTACTCTTGCCCTTGCTCCAACAAGTAAGATCCTCATCTCCAAACTTTTTTCAGAAATCCTCGCTCTCCTCCTGTTGCCCTTGCTCCAGCAAGATCCTCATCTCCAAACTTTTTCCGAAATCCTCGTGTTGCCCTTGCTCCAACAAGATCCTCTTCTCCGAACTTTTTCGGAAATCCTCGTTCATCTACTGTCGACCTTGCTCCAACAAGATCCTCTTCTCCCAACTTTTTCCGTAATCCACGCTTTGCCCTTTGTGTTGCTCTTGCTCCAACAAGATCCTCTTCTCCCAGCTTTTTCGTTGCCCTTTGTGTTGCCCTTGCTCCAACAAGATCCTCTTCTCCCAACTTTTTCCGTAATCCTCGTCTTGCCCTTTGTGTTGCCCTTGCTCCAACAAGATCCTCTTCTCCCAACTTTTTCCGTAATCCTCGTCTTGCCCTTTGTGTTGCCCTTGCTCCAACAAGATCCTCTTCCCCCAACTTTTTCCGTAATCCTCGTCTTGCCCTTTGTGTTGCCCTTGCTCCAACAAGATCCTCTTCTCCCAACTTTTTCCGTAATCCTCGTCTTGCCCTTTGTGTTGCCCTTGCTCCAACAAGATCCTCTTCTCCAAACTTTTTTCCAACTCCTCTCTGTGCAGAACCAAGGGTGTCATCTGAACAAAATTGTTAACATTTTTTGGCAACAAAAAAAACTTGTCAAAAAAGTCAGAAGTATCTATGCTAATGATGACTGAAAGATACTAGTAAAATGACCACCTGTTTATGTTCTTCTATAACCCTGTGCTTTTAACACATCAACTGTAATATATTGTGTTAAACATGAGTCCATGACAGGCTTGCAATGCTATTAATGAGAAAATTTTGACAGACTAAAAATTAAATGGAAATTTTCATGGGGTAAATAACATTGCCTCAAGAAAGTTACTTGCTCTATGCCTTATCTCTAATCTAGCAAATCAAAGATACAACACCGGAAGATTTTTTATTTAAATTGCAAATTTTTTCACATCTTACCTTGAGATAGAGGTGCTTCAACCGGATCGGCTCCAAACTTACTTTCAGTGGAAGCTGGAGAAAGCGACTTTCTCATTTCAGATATATAACCGCTTTCAAGATTTGGAAACACATCCCCTAAACCAGCAGAGTCAATGATCTTCTTAAGCCTCTGAATTTCCTGGTCTTGTATGGTTAGCTGGGTCCTGAGACGCTGGATTTCCTCATCTCTAAAAGCTATCTGCCACTCATGGTCACTCATTTCCATCTCGTGTTACCTACAGATATATAGCCAGTCCTAGCCTCCTAGGTAACTCCTTTCTGCTCAAAGTACCTGATTGTTACTTCTGCTACCAACCTCCTCAGCAGACAAGAAAAAAAAATAAAGAAAAAGAACACCTGCTTTTTTAAGCAATAGGGAAATGTCCCGTCTTGGATTTCTTTATAGCCTTGTCCTGGTTACAGCATCTTTCATGAAAGATGCTATTTTAAAGAGATAAATTAGTACAATAATATTTTAAATAGTATAAATATATTTTTTAATCAAAAAAATTATTTGAAAAGTTAATTTTATTAAAAAATAAATAAATAAATATTTTGTTTTTTTAATGATTTTAATTTTTTTTTCACATTGCTAGATTTAACTGATTTATTTTGTTGTTGATTCTATTTTTTTAATTTTGACTCTTTTGAGATATATATAAAAATAGCTCCTGTGAAAAAAAAAAAAAGAAGGTATTTTAGTATTTTGTTTAGCTCTTTTTTTGTAATATAAAAAACAAGCAAATAAAAGTAAAAATATTAGTTTTTTTATTTTTAACTATCCATTTAGTTTCTTTATTGAAGATGCTCTTAGTGGTGTTGTCTATTTTATTTTAGCATAAAAATTTTTAAGAAAAAATAAATAGTTTTTTAAAATAAAATATAATAATATTCAAGTAATTAGATCATGAATGATATTAATTTAATAATATTATTAAAAAATAATTGACAATAACAAAAAATAATAATTCAATTCAAAAGATAAATGTTTTTAATATTATAGAAATATATATTTACAATATTTCTAAAACATCTCAATGATTTTATTTGTCAACAAAGTAAAAATTAAATGAGAATAAAATAATTGCATAGAAAGAAAAATAAAAATAACACAAAATAATCTTAATGATTAGTACTACACATGAAAACAATCATGAGGGTTAAAATTACAAGAAAAAAATCTAAAATAAAAAATACAATTTAAAAAATTCAAAAGGCAACAACAAATTTTAAATATGAGAGTTAAATTAAAAATAAAAAAAACATTAACAAACAAATAAAAAAATAAAAAAATACATTATAAACTTAGATTGAAGGGTAAAACTATAAAAGATAAAACTTTCATAAAATATTCAAGAAAAAAATAAAAAATCATAAGAATGTGCATCAAATCTTAGATATCAAAACATGATAAAAAAATATATAAAAAATTCTTCAGCATGTTTTTACCTTGAAAAACTCTTAGAAGTAAATCAAAAAACTTATGCATTCATCTAATTAAACAAATTAATAATCATTGTGTAAAGCAATGAAAAAAATCAATAATAATAAAATAAAATTAAGAAAACAGTGTAAAATAAAAGTTAAAATATCTAACATCACAATATAGATATATCTAACATCACAATATAGATAATTTACCTTATTATGTTTGATGAATTCCTCTGTTAAAATAAATTTGTAGTAGAAGAACATATAAAATTTGAGATAGAAACCAATACACATATAAAATTTATTGAATAATAATTTAAAAAATGCAAGGTCGCACACATTAAAAATCTTATAAAAAAATAATATTTGTTTTTAAAAAACAAATTTAATCTATATAATATTAAAAAAATCACAGATAAATCATACATATCTCTTCAAAAATTAAACACACCTGATATTATTTAAAAATAATCACAGTATAATTAAAATATAAATCCAGAATTTATTTGAAAAAAATACATAAAAGCAATGTAGAATTATAGTTTGTTTTGTAAAACATAAAGGCATAGCTTTTTTCTCATTGAATCAAAAGTTATATATACAGTAGAGATAACGCTGTAGAGTTTCAATCAAATACAACAATTATAATTCTATACTATAACAATGTTGTAACTTATATAAGTCCTATTCTTCAGGTAATTAGTTAGTGTTTGTTTTAGACTTTGACACTTACTTGTATGCCCCCTCAAGAAGGGATTTTATCAATAAATTAGCTAGTTGATCATTTGAAGAGACATAGAACACTAGTAGAGCACTGGATTGAACACTTTGTTGAATGAAGTGAAAATAAATAGTAACGTGTTTCATTCTTGAGTGAAATACAGGATTAGAACTCAATTGAATGTCAATAATATTATCACAATAAATAACTAGAGTATGACTTACTAAAAGGTGTAGTTCGCATAGTAAATAGCATACCTAACTGATTTTAGTTGCTATATCTACAACTGCTCTATATTCAGCTTCAGTGGATGAGCATGCTATGATGTGCTGCTTTGTAGAGGATAAGGAGATGGGATTCCGACCAAGATAGATTACATAGGTGCTGTTGGAGGATAAATCTTCCTTGTCCCCCCCAGTCTGCATCAAAAAAAGCATGGACTGAATAAAGAGAATGATGATGGAGAAGCAGATAGCGCCAAGTAAATAGCAAAGGAGGCATTTCACCAATTTCCAATAGACATTGGTAGGCTAATGCATGAATTAAAAGAGTTTGTTTACAGTGAAACAAACATCAGGCTAAGTGAAAGAGAGGTATCGAAGGTTGCTTAATGTTACATGGTGTATGTAAGATCAACCAAAGGAGTACCCATGTCTAAGATCAATTTACAAATAGGAGGTAGTAGAGTAGAGATAGGTTTTGCAAAAGTCAAATTGGTTCAGTGGAAAAGATCCATAATGTACCATTGCTAAGAGGGAAGCATACCACCAGTAGAATGAGGTTGGACTTCAACCCTAGAAAATATGTCAGAGGACTCAAGTGTTTTAAGAAGAATCGAGTTGTTAAATAATGAATGAATTTATTAACTGTATTTTCATTATCCCTTGTAACAATGATGACATCCACATAAACCAGCAAATAAATAAGGTGAGAGTTCTAATAGAAGATGAAAAGATATGTATCGACCAGGAAGTTAGAAAAACCTAAAGTATACAAAAAATTGCATAGTTTATGAAACCACACACAAGGTGCATTTTTCAAGCCATATATGGCTTTTTTAAGTTTACAGAAAAACTTAAGTCTGTCCAGATCATGAAATCCTGGGGGTTAGGCCATGTAGACATCTTCATCCAAAATGCCTTGAAGAAATGCATTCTTAATGTCTAGTTGATGAAGTTTTCCATCATTTGCTGATAGCAATACTGAGAACCAGATAGACTGTTATAGGTTTCACCATAGGACTGAATGTCTCATTATAGACCAGACCAGGGCACTAATGAAACCCTTTGGCCATGAGTGTGACTTTGTAACAAGCCATTATAACATATGAGTTGTGTTTGATCTTAAAAATTCATTTACAAACAGCCAAGTTAGAAGTATGAACAAGTGCATAACAGAGCACTAGACTCTTTATACATGGCAAATCGCTAATTTATGTTGAAAGACTATTGTCCCCTAAATCCAACAATTGTAATTTTCTAGTTGATTGTTATAACCTAATTTTTTAATAAATAATAAATTTTAAAATTTGAGGATGAGATTATTAAATTTAAGAGCCAATTAATTAATAATTAATGAACTACTAAGTTTGGAAATTTAATTAAATTTTGAATTTATTTAATTAATAGAATCAGAGGTTTAATTGAAGAATTAATATATTTGTAACTTAATTAAACTTTGAATTTCTTTTGAACCACGTCAAGTAAATTTATTTATTTTTTGTTATAACCTATTTTTATATTAGTTTTTTTTTTTATCATTTTCATATAATAGTTTATGAGTTTATTTTTTTTTAAGTTATAGAAATTTGTTGTACGATCTATACTTGTTAGCATTTGTTTGAGATATTTTAAAAAATTATATTTGTTTGTCATTTGATGAAATTAAATTTGATTTTGTAACTTGAGTTATTTATAATAAAATAAATAATGAGTTATTTAATGGGCATGTGTGTTTTTAATTTTATTGTGAAGTTGAAGATTTAGATAAATTTAGAGGAATTTGAATTTTTTGAAGAAAATTGATAATCATTAAAGAATACTGTTAAAATAAATTGAATAATTTCAAATTCAACCAACGATAGCTAATTAAGTAGATATTGATAATTTGTTTATTTAACATTATTAATGTATGTTTATTCTTAGATATATTGAGTTTTACCCGAAGAGTTGCGTAAGATGGATTATTGTAATGAAATTAAGAGTTTTATTAATTATAAATTATTTAATTCAAGAATTATTAATAAAGGTAATATTAGATATTTATCTAAAAAATTATAAATATAAAAATTTTATCGATCTAAATATTATTATGATATATCTTTTTTAAAAAGATTTCATGAAAAAAATACTTGTGTTGATTTGCATAAAAAAAAAAACATATGTTCTTTACGAGATTATAGTAGAAAAGATGGTTGAATAAATTTTTAATTCTAATAATATACATGGAGCTAAAGATGATAATAATAATTGTTGTAGGAATATAATTATAGATATAAAGGAAATGAATCGGGATTATATAAGTGAATTTTCAATTATAAATGAAGAATCAAATACAAATACAAATAGATTTTTTAAACTTTTGAAAGATTATAACGAGCCATTATGGGATAGTCATAAAAATTACAATAAATTATCAATTGTTTTATAAGTTTTTATCATCAAGTTAAATAAAAGATTAATATAATTATTGAATCAATAATAAGTATTTTATTTTAAGAGAATGAATAAAAAAAACTTTTATATTATTAAATCTGTTAAGATTAATAGCAATGCTGTTCAAATGCCACAACTGCTTGCTTTAAAGACTTTCCTTTTCATTTTAAATCCCAAGAGATCAAGTGGACATGTGCAATTATTAGGAAGTCACATGCTTTAAGCGGTAGATACATATGTATATTTATTTAAATTGCAGGAAATAATATTACTCTTATTCACCTGATAAATAATTGTTAGGGAAATTAATTAATCTGATTAAACTCTAATACCCCAGAGATTAAGTGGACACGTGCAACAGAGTCATCGGTCCAAAAAGACGTCTCTAATTGATGTTTAAAAAATTCTATTTTCCTGCCTCCCGAAAGTTGACTAACCGATGCTGTTAGGTGATTTCAAACTATTAGTATTAGGTGTTAATAATTGATGTTTAAAATATTGAAGGCAGTGGTTGGGAGAAATGTTTTATTGGTGTGCATCGGTGTATCCTGCAAGATATATTTTTAAAATTGATGGATTTGAAAAGTCATTATGTCAAGTATTAATCAATTCTAAATAAGTTGCGATATTTTAATAACCAGAAATCTTCCATTTAATTCGATACCTATTCCTTTCTCTCTGACTTACCAAACTCCATCCTTAATGATTCCTTAAATATGGTTTTGATATGTATAGTATAAGAGGAATGCTGATTTCGTTGATTGTCCCCCAAATCCCACAATTGTAACTTTCTAGCTGATTGTTTTAACCTAATTTTTTAATAAATAATAAATTTAAAAATTTGAGGATGAGATTATTAAATTTAAGAGCCAATTGACTAATAATTAATGAACTAATAAGTTTGGAAGTTTAATTAAATTTTGGATTTATTTAATTAATAGAATCTGAGGTTTAATTGAAGAATTAATATGTTTGTAACTTAATTAAACTTTGATTTAATTAATTAAATAAATTAGGGATTTAATTGAAGAAATTGTAAAGCTAATTAAAGGTAAAATTGCAGAAAATTATAATTCATAGACCAAATTGAATATTTCAGAAACCTAAGACTGTTGTGTAAATAGCATTTAATTGAGGATTCAATTGAAATTTATCCAAGGGCACAATTAAAAGAAATGTTTTATTATTAGGGATCCAATTGTCAGATTTCCAGAAGCAGGGGTCAAAGTGAAAATTCCATTTCTGCCGAAACGGCACTGTTGCTGGGGAACAGTCGTGCCTTCTTCAGTCCGATTCAACAGGGAAGCTGGAAAATCGGCAGCAAAACCGACCCTATCGTGACCACATCCTCTGCCCACAATCCCGTTCGTGGAGGGATAACAATCCTGCAAAGGCAGGACTGGTTTAAGGGCAAGCTCGCTCGCATTATAAAAAGGCAGAGTAGAGCGGGGACGAAGGGAAAAAGAAAGACCCGAGCATCAAAACAGAGCAAAAACAGGGGGCAGAACCGAAAAAAACACAGAGAAAGACTGGAAAAAAAAAAAAAGGAAGGCAGAACCAGCAAAAGGAGGAAGAAAATAGAGAAAAAAGCAGGGGAATCGGGGGAAAACGAGAGCAAAACAGAGCATAAAAACAATACACAGAGGGAAGGAGAGAATAAGAAAGTAGCATATACAGAGATGAGAATTGTACTTGCAATTGCCTTAGTTCATGCAGAAAATGAGCAACCCAGAATCATTCAAAAAATTTAGAGAAAGCCGGCATACCCATTACTTTCTCTACTCGTTCATCTCAAGAGCTGAGAAATCAAAAGAGGAGAGGACTGTGGGCACAGCGGGGAGAGAAAAGAAAGCAGTCGAATGATAGTAGCAGCCACCAAATTTTTTTCATTGTATTTCATTTAATTACATAAAATAAAAACTATACATGTAAAAATAGGATAAATTAAAATAAATTTATTGATTTATTCATTGATGTCAAAGTCAGGAATAAAGATACAAATATAAATTTATTTTATTTTATCATTTTTTATTTTTATTTAGTTACATAAAAAATATGTATTCGTAAAAAAAATAAATTTATTTGATTTATTTATTCACTGACACTAGAGTTAGGAATAAAAATACTAATTTAAATTTATTTTATTTTTATGTGAGGTATAAAAATTATTTTATTTTATTTTTTTATTCACTAATATCAACACTAGAAATAAAAAAATTTATTTTAAATTTATTTTATTTTTATAGCTACGTAACGCTAGAGTTACAAATATCCATAGTTAAAAAATTCATCGATACTAAAGTCAGGAATATTATATGCAAAAACTATCATAGTACAAACCAACAAGACATTAACAATTTATAACAAAATTAACAATATAATATGTCTTAGACATGATGCTTAGTGGGTGATATTTTTTTTTTTTGAATAACCAGTCTCGTATTATAAAATATTTGTTAATTAGTTAGAATTTCTAATAATTATAATACTAAATAGTAACTATTTAAATAATATATTTTTTTATTAAAAATAAAATATTAAAAATCTATTTTTTAAAATTATTTTAAGATTGATATGAAATATGAACTGTTCGGACATGTGTTAGAGTTGACACAAGGCTCCCTCCCGAACTCGATCAAAATAAGGAGAGACGAATATGTTTTGTAAATCTCTCACTGGAGCATCTTCAAGTGAAGGTGGCTGAAGCTCAAAGATAAACTTGGTGGCATTGTACAATTAGTCTAAAAAATAGTTATATCTTTTAATTTAGTCAATTAATCTAGATTAAATTTTAAGAGATTTGATAAGCCTAGTTTCATTAATTTCCATAACCAGCTAAAGTTGGAGATACCTTCAAATTAGACTTGAAATGTGTTATTTTATTATTTTTCATTATTATTCTATTTATTTTTTGACTTTTGGCATAATTTCAGATCTTATTTTTTTATTTTTTATTTTTGAAGATTCTAATTTTTCTTTCTAAGTAAATGCGAGGTCAAACCTATTAAAGTGTTGTGTTCTGAGAAGACCATATAGAAAATAAATTCAATAATAATAATAATAATAAAGAGCTTTGGTTATTGACACCATTTTCTTAAAATTTTATCTTTTTTATCCTTTGTTTATCTTATTTCTTTTTCTTTTTTTTACTCAGGTTTGAATTTATCAACATATCTAAACCATTAGATCTAAGAATTTTTTTTTATAAAATCATTGATAAGATTTACTGTAATAAATTGAATGAAAAACTCCGATAGTGTTAAGGATTGAACAAGCCAAGATATCAACTCTCTAACTCTATCTTGACCTTACTTAGCACAGAAATCAACAATTGAGCTTGATTGCCTCTCTACTAAGATGAATGAAAGCAACCTGTCGCAGGTTGTAGAAAATCAAGCAATGGTTACTGAATTCAAGAATGAAGATACTGATCCACTCATTAATACAATAACAGAAACTGCAAAAGATCACACCAAACAATCCTATAAACATTAGGACTCTGATCCATCTAGGATTGAAGCAGCAACAACTTATCCTCCGTGAATGCAGCAGTAGATAAAAACTATAAGACAGTGAATAATGCAACAGAAGATAAATGGCTATATATATATATATATATATATATACAAAATAAATAATTAAGAAAGAAGTGTAATTCTCAAATACACAATTGATTCTTATTATTTCTTTATGGTATCAGAGCCTCAAAAGACTAACATCTAAATGTCTTCCTCAAATTCTCCTGCAACTCCACCTTACTCTTTTGTCATCTTCATGCCTTCTGTCACTACTCTTAAACTCAACTATGACAACTTCCTTCTTTGGAAAGCACAACTTATACCATATTTCAGAGGCTAATATCTCTTTAGTTATATAGATGGTAGCATTCCCAAACCACATAAACTCATCTCTTTACTCACCGTGAAAATTCTGTTGTCTCTGAACGTCTATACTCAGCCTACTTACAATGGGTTCATCAAGATAATTTTATTCTTAGCACTCTCATGACTTCTCTGTCATAGCTAATACTTGCTTAAGTTGTCACTTATACATCTCCTAAGGCTTTATGGAATGCATTGGATGATGTCTTCTCGTCTGGATCTCGTGTGTGTATTCTATAAATTCACACACAACTTGAAATTGCAACGAAAAGAATCAAGACAGCCACTGATTACTTCCATAACATCAAAAGACTCACTTATGAATTGGCCATTGCTGGACAACCACTAAATCATGATGATACTATAACATATATTCTTGCAAGACTCAACCATGAATATGACAGCTTTGTAGCCGCTATATTAGCACGTATTGGTGACATTACCCTTGAGAAAATTTATTCTTTATTATTGACTTCTAAAGCACGCCTACCACGGCACCAACTCACCCATGTCATTCAGCGACCTTCTATCAATATTGCTAATCAACAATACAATCTTTCAAGGCACGGTGGTTTTCGTGATAGGAGACGTGTTAATCGTCGTGGTTATAATTCCAGTAATAAGAATCATGATCAACTATCTGTTGTTTGCTAAATATGTGGCAATATCAAACACTCTGCTAAAACATACTATTTTTGTTTTGATTTATCTTACCAGGAAGCACCTCCTATACCAATAAAACACGATTTGGTTGCTATGGATGGCATGCACATAAAAGAGCCACACATCATTTTATCGATGATGCTGACATTTTGACTCTTTAGAAATCCAACTATGCTAGTGCAAACAGTGTACAAGTTGGAAATGGTTGAGGTTTGCAAATCTTAAAAACTAGGACCTCTAAAATTTCCACTCTCTCTTCTACCTTTGTTCTTAATAACATTCTTCTTGTTCTTGAAATACATAAAAATTTACTGCTAGTTCTGTGTTGACAATAAAATGTATTTTGAGTTTCATTTATATTATTTTCTTGTGAAGGATTACTTAGGGAATGTCTTTCATCAAGGCTATCTTCATGATGGACTCTATAAACTCACCAATAATTCTAGTCTTCCTATCAGTGGCATCATGGACTTTGCCATGCATCTACTCCAGTGGTCAATCAAGTGTTATTCCTCTTTTCTTTTCTCATAGAGAAAAGTAAAACACATAATGTGTGCCCTGAATGTTAAATGTCAAAAAGCCATAGTTTGCCTTTTAAAACTTTTACTTCCATTTCGTTGCACCCTTTAGATTTAATTTTCACCAATGTGTGGGGACCTGCATCAGCGCCTTCCACAACCGGTGCTAAATATCATGTTAGCTTTCTTGATGATTATTCTAAGTTTTTTTGGTTATTGGATGTTGATGGATTTACAAAATCAAAAGAAAGGTGGATGGAGTTATTAAGCGATATAAGGCTGGCTTAGTAGCTAAAGGATTTCATTAGCAAGAGGGGGTTGATTTCTCTAAAACATCCAACCCAGTCATCAAACAGGCCACCATTCGGTTAGTCATCTCTACTACAGTAACACATAAGTGGCCTATTAAATAGTTGGATGTGCAAAATGCTTCCTTACATGGTGACTTGTATGAAAATGTGTTTATGATTCAACCACAAAGCTATGTTCATCCTCAGTATCCCAACCATATATGCAAACATCACAAATCCCTTTATGGTTTACACCAAGTTCCCTGTTCTTAGTTCTCCAAACTTTTAACCAAACTTTTGTCCCTGAGTTCAATGAAAGTAAGGTAGATACATCTCTTTTCATGCTTTAAAAATTTAATTATGTGGTCTATATTCTTATCTATATTGATGATCTGTTAATTATTGGCTCAAGTGTATCCATCATCAATAATATCATTCATTCGCTATAAACCACCTTTGTTGTCAAAGATTTAGGCAGTCTTGCTTATTTTCTTAGTGTGGAAGCACTTTGGTGCACAGATGGTATTTACTTAACTCAATGTAATATATTGTTGACTTGTTTAAAAGAATTAAGATGGAGAATGTTAAGCCTTGCGCTAATCCAATGGCCTCTCACCATTGACTTACTTCTAATAGTGGTACTCCATTTGAAGACATCAACCTTCACTACAATATAATAAGTAGTATATAGTATTTGGCTTTCACGAGACTTGATTTAATGTTTCTTGTTCATAAAGTTAGCAAATTTATGCACAATCCTCTAAACACTCAATGGCTGGCTATCAAGTGTATCCTCCACTATCTTAAGTACTCCATCTCAATAGGTTTTTCATCACCAAAATTGTTAATTTCATTTGCAAACATTCTCTAATTCTGATTGGGTTGCCGACAAAATGATCGCAGATCAATTGGTGCTTACTGTATTTACATGGGTTCCAACTTAATTTCTTGGAGTTGTAAACAACAACCTATAGTAGCACCTAACAGCACAGAAGCTGAGTACAAAGCAATTGCTAATGCTGCAGCAGAACTCATTTGGTTTAAATCCATACCCCATGAACTTGGTCTACCCCTGCAATATAGTCCAACTTTGTGGTGTGATAATATTAGTGCAACTTACTTGATGTCCAATCTAAAATTTCATCCACCAAACACATTGAGATTGATGTTCATTTCGTTCATGACCAAGTTTACAACAAAGAACTCGTGGTTCAATTTATCTCCAGCAAAGAACAGTTAGTCGATGCATTTACCAAGCCTTTGCTACCAGTTAAATCCAGACAAGTTCAATGCAATTTGAATGTTTGTGACCTATCCTCCAAATTGAGGAGGTGTGTAGAAGATCAAGTAATCGTTACTAAATTCAAGGGTAAAGATATTGATTCACCCATGAATGCAGTAATAAGAACCGTAGAAGATCTCACTAAACTATCCTATAAAAATTTGGACTCTAATCCACTTGTGATTGAAGCAGTAGCAACTTATCCTCCGTGAATATAGCAGTAAATAAAAACTACAAGATAGTGAATGCAGCAGCAGATAACGAGCTGAAAGATATGATCTCATGAATTCAAAATCTACAGTTGTTGCCAGCCACGTCAATATCAGGATATATAGAGAATAAATAATTAAAAAGGAAGTGTAATTCTCAAATACGCAATTAGTTCTTATTATTTCTTTGCAGGTACATGATAGACACAACATTGAAATTAAAAAGCTGTCATAATTTTCTAGTTTTTTTTTTATTCATATTGATATTTGACCTTACCTCAACTGATTTTATATATTTTGAAATTAATAATTATATAAGTTTTTAATGGGTTTAAAGTTTGGAAGACTTGAACCAGTAATATTAAAACAAACATAAAACATAAAACCTGATCAATATATCTTTCAGTTGTTTACATTAACATGTATTAAAGAGGATTCACTTTCTTTTATCTAGCATATTAATGTTTTTTTCTAAGAATATAATATAAAAAATATAAAAAATAATTCTTTCACATTATATATCTTTAGTATCCTATTAATTTTATATGAAAATACATAAAACATAAAATATTCAGTCTATTTTAACAAGAAATCTCTAATTATTTTGCTCACCTTTGACCTGATAGCTCAGCTCCTAAATTTTTTGTGAATAAATTTTCAATACCTTTCTTTGGAGGACTATTGTTTGTCGATTTAAAAGCATCATCAACAGTGGTAACTGCATTGCCCAGATCAGTATAAACAGACTGAATGACAATCTTTAGCCTTGCAAATTCCTTCTCTCTAAGATCTAATTGACTCTTAAGATGTCGCAGTTCCTCGTCCTTCAAAGCTAGCTCGTGCTCAAGACGTCGTATTTCCTCATCCTTTGATCATTTCTGGTTTTCGAAGCCCTTTACTTCTTCTTGACCTACAGAATATTGATCCTTAAAGGAATTTCTTTTCTTTAAAATTTTGTTATGACCTTCATAAGAAACATAAGAAATACTTCATTGTTCAAGTTCAAGAACCTGGAAAGAGGATATCTGTTAGAGCTCTGGGTATGGGAATGCGCCAATAAAAGCACACTACCTATAATTCAACAACAATGGGCAGCGGTAGCCTTGTATAGGTAGAGATGAGTTTGATAGGCAGTATATGATGATCTGTGCGAGTCTTTAAACTTGGGACTTGGCATGAACGTAGGGGTTTAGATAATGAACCGTCTAAGTCAGCGGCTGACGCTATGAAAGCTAGCATTCTGGACTGCCAGGTAGACAGCAAGAACATGGGAGCATAATTGGGGTGCTCTCAAAGCTGCTGAGATCATGGGATCATGGGGAAAAAATGCCCTACTATGTCCTGAAAAATAGGGTATCATAGGTGAGCCTTGCAGCTCACATGTTTTATCTATAAATAGGCTGTCAAAGCCTTTACCTTGGAGCATACGATTTATGTGTCCAGCACACACTCTTATTGTGTAATCCTTTGTTGACGAGATAAATAAAGGTTGAGAGATATTCTTATAAAGTTCAGTGTGCTTATTTGTGTTTATTCTTTGTTTACGACGAGGCAAATGTGGGAACCTCTTTGGGTGAGCGAAACACATAGTTTCAGGAAACACAAGCAGAAAGGCTAAGTCTAGTTGGGACTAGACTGCTACATTGGATTGAATTTCATTGTGAAAAATTTAACTCCATGACAATTGGTATTAGAGCATGGTTGATTCTAACATGCAACAGAAGTCATGAAAGCTATTTAAGAATGACTGATATGTCTTGAGACTTTGATAAGGTCAGATGAAAAAAGTGAAGAATGTTCTATTATTAATCGCTTGAGGGAAGCTATGGAAAGCGATGAAAGAGCTGAGAGCTTGTACATTTCTCTTGCGACAACAAACACTTTTATTGGGGTAAGTACTTCTAAACTTAAAGTGTCTGAACCAAAGTGTTTTGGTGGGGTAAGGAGTTCCAAAGAACTTAAGAATTTTTTATGGCACATGGAGCAATACTTTAGCATCATGAAGATCGGCGTAGCTAAACAAATAGATCTTACTGTGATATATCTTATGGGTAATGCAAAACTTTGGTAGAGGATGAGAACCAAAGATGACTTAAGTGCTGGACGTCTAAAGATTGAGACATGGGATCATCTTAAGTAGGAGTTGAAGGAGTGGTTCCTTCCGAACAACACATCTTGGATTGCGCAGGAGGAATTGAAAAGGCTCAATCATGAAAGGTCAGTTCATGAGTATGTTAAATATTTCAATTCTTTGATTTTCGACATCGAGAATATGTTCGAGAAGGATAGATTGTTCAACTTCATGTCTGGATTGCAAACTTAGATGCAAGCAGAACTAAGACAACAAAACATAAAGGATTTGTCCTCCCCTATTGTTGTTGCAGACAATTTGGTTGATTTCAAATCAACTACTACAAAGGCTTATACATCAACCTCCTTTAAGTCTAAAGGAAGAAACAAGGAGGCTAAGTTTATAGGTGCATATGATAAGAGTACAAAACCAAACTTGCTTCATTTATGATGGTCCTTACTTTGCGAGGGAATATCCAAAGAGGAAGAAGTTGAATGTTATTCTGGTTGGGGATAGCGATAAGGATGAGGGGGTAGTTACATACGTCAATCCTATACATGTGATAAACTGCTTGGTAGCTGAATTAGGGAATACAGCTGCCGAAACCCGCCCTATTGATTAAGACTTAGCGAGGATTGATACACTACAAAAGGGGAAGTCAGGGACTACGTACAATCTAATATATATAAAGATTAAGATAAATGGCAAAGACATGAATGCTATGCTGGATTCAAATGCAACCCACATGTTTATGGCATATTAACTGGTGAAGCAACTTGGCTTGCGGCTAAATGATAGCCATACATCTATGAAGGCAATAATCTCGAAGTCATAGAGAATTGCAGGAATGTCTTATGATATGCCGATAATGCTGGATCAGTGAAGAGGTAAGCAGGATGTGCGAGTCGTAAATCTTGATAATTATGATATTATTCTTGGTCTTGATTTCTTATGAAAAGCCAAGATTATTTTGATGTCGTATCTCAATTAGGTCATGATTGCGAGTGAGGAATGCCTATATTTCATCCTATGTTGCAACATCACAGTTGTGAAAGTAGTGAAAAGGGGGGGAAGCTTGGTCTCGACAATTGTTATTAATAAAGCATTGTGGATGAGAAGACAGACTATTTTCAAGAGGTGTCGAATGAAATTGCTAGCATATTGCAGCAATTCGAGGATGTGGTGCTGCTTTAGCTACTAAAGAAACTCCCACCTAGAAGGACTATCGACCATTGAATTGAGTTGGTGTTGGGGACGCAGCCACCATTTCAAGCCACTTACCAAATGTCGCCAATGGAATTGGCAGAATTGAGGAAACAATTGGAGGAGCTAATTGACTGAAGATTTATCCGCCCTTCTAAGGCTTCATATGGTGCTCTGGTGTTGTTTCAAAAGAAGACAGATGAAAACCTTAGCATGTGTGTGGACTACCGAGCACTTAACAAGGTAACAATAAAAAACAAATATCATGTCCCTTTAATACAGGACTTGATGGGCAGATTGTGTGGAGCCTCTATCTTTACAAAATTGAACTTGCAATTGGGTGTTGGTAAGTGCGAGTTGCTGACGGTGAATAGCATAAAACTACTTATGTGATGAGGTATGGCTCATACGAGTTTCTGGTTATGTCATTCAGCCTAACAAATGCTCTAGCAATATTTTGTAATCTAATGAATGATATGTTATATGATTTCTTAGATAATTTCGTTGTAGTCTACTTAGATGACATCGTAATCTATAGTAAAGGCATTGAAGATCATGTAACTCATCTCTCTAAAGTCTTGAGTAGATTGAGAGAATATGAATTGTATGTGAAGAGAAACAAGTGTGAGTTTGTAAAAGCTGAAATTATGTTCTTAGGCCATTTGATTGGAGAAGTACAAGTGAAGATGAATCCATGGAAGATTTAAGCCATCATTGAATGGACAACACCAAAATCAGTCCTAGAATTGAAGTTATTTTTAAGGCTTGCAAACTACTATAGACAATTCATTGAGGGCTATGGCAAAAAGATAACTCCTCTCTCGGATCTTCTTAAGAAGAATCGGAGATGAGAATGGATGGTTGACTGCCAACAAGCTTTTGAGAAGTTGAAGACAACAGTAGCGTCAACTCTAGTTTTGGAGCTGCTTGATTTTGAAAAGCCATTCGAAGTGCATGTTGATGCTTTGGATAGGGCCATTAGGAGAGTGCTTGTACAAGAGAGGCATCCGATTGCTTTTGAGAGTCGGAAGCTAAATGATACGGAATAGAATTACTCGACACATGAGAAGGAGATGACAACAATAATGCACTGCCTTGGTAGTTGGAGAGTATATTTGTTGGGGTCGAAATTTGTTGTCAGGACAGACAATGTTGCTAACATATTTTTCAGGACATAAAAGAAATTATCGCAACAACAAGCTCAGTGGCAGGAATTCTTAGCCAAATGTGATTTTATATAGGAGCACAAACTGGGGGTGGCGGATACACTCAGCAGATGTGAGGTAATTACTATTGTTCTTGCTATTGTTCAGGTGGAGTCGGATATGCTGGGTCGACTTTGTCAAGATGCTGGGGAAGACGTAGCATACAAGAAAATAGTTGAGCCTGTATAAGAAAGGACAATACAGAGGTATTGGCTGGAACAAGACCTACTTCGATGTAAAGGGGGCTCAAATCTTCATGCCGAAAGAAGAGCTGCAAAAACACTTAATGATGGAGACTTATGATCCGTAATTGACTAGACATTCAGGCAAGGGGATCAGAGGTGTTCTTGATCGACCAAGCCAGGGTACGTAACAATCAAGAATCACAAAAACATAAATCTAGTTTCAGCAAATCAGAGACGATATTCTCGTGGGCTTCAAAGAAATATGTTTGGAGTAACATATAAGGCTAATCAGGTAACAAATCTGTAGAGGAACTCATGCATCGACATAGATAAAATTCCCAGCGCATGGGATGTTACCTCCTTCTTGGGAGGCATCCTTAATGAAACTCTCGGGGAGGGGATGGATGGAGTTGAGACAAATGGGGCTGATTTGCCGATGGAAAATAGAATTTCCAAGTAACTTTGTGAGACATCGTCTAAGAACAAAACATGTAAGAGACAAAATTATTAGTCTGTAAGAGAAGGCGACCCTACTAGTTTTTTTCTTATTCTTTCTTTATTGATTCATTTTTTTATTGTTTATTAGTTAAATCATTTTCGTGTAATCAAAATACTACTAAGTTTGAATTCGACACTATCTGTGATGGACATTGACAGACAAGTGGAATATTGATAAAACTGAAATAGGGGCTGATATTAAAATATGCAAAAGAAGGGGGTCCAATATGGTTTAGAAGTAAGAGTTGAGGGGTTAATGGAAGTTACTGTTAGATTCAATCAATGTCGTCCTTTAACTTCTTAAGAAATTTCATTTGCATCTGAAAATGTTTACCTGTCCTGAGAGGGAAGAGAACTGACAAGGATAAATAAAATCTAATACACAGAAAATTAATCTACAATACAACACCCATCATCCTATTAACTACTATCGCTAAGCCCGTAATTATTTAATTATTTACTATGCTGGGTAACAACGAAATTACAAATTGTTATCCTAAAAAAGCTTAAGAAAGATTAAATACAAATTGTTAACACACAAATTTGTTTTTCCTCATCCTTTTTATGGATATGTTATAAAGAATATATGAATAAAATTGTTTGTTAAATACTCATTAAATCTTTTTTAGTGGAATTTGCTTTAGTTCCTGCAGAAAAAGAGCAACCCAGAATCATTCAAAAAATTTGGAGAA